AATGCAACGCGTGGTAATTCTACGCGTACTAATGCAACGTGTGGTAATCTAACGCGTAGCAATCAGTGCGCGAGGATTACGCGCGCTCAGCCACTAGGCTCGAAGTTGCCGCTCTCGCGTCTGCGCATGCGTAATCCTCACGCTCTGATTGGTCCGTGTTTTTCCTTAATAATTCAAAAACGAAGCTTCCTACCCCATTTTTGCAAAGGAAAATCTTATTCAGAATCACGTCAGCTACATTGGACCTACACTAATTGTGACACTCTGTATAAACCACACTCGTATTTTCATTTTGCCTTCAATTCTGATTACAATCTAATCCTACCTAACATTCTAACTTTCTTCAGCTGTCATTGTAACTATCTGTGAACAACGTCCAGAAAATTATAGGTTAAGAAATTGCCCCACAAAATACATCTGTAGAATTTTGCAGGGCCAAAGGTACAAAGTGCGAAGAATGTGTTTTTATTTACCATGTATGCCCTCCTACAAACACATTCTCTAAAGAGCCCGCAGTGCATGTACACCGTGTAATACGCACGAAGTCGAACCGTACCGAATTGCACTTTGAATGCCTGTACAAGCTCAACCTGTAATTACAGTGGCGTTTTATGTGATTACAAAAACATGAGTATACAACCTGCGAATGTCATCGAGTTGAGGAGACCCTTGTGGAACATGGTGAGGCCCAGGTCGCATTCTGCGGACGGTAAAACGTACGACATGGCCGACGACGAGAAGATACTGGAGAAACTGGCGGGCAACACGGCCAGTAGTAATAAGTAGTTGAACTTTCCATAACCTGTTGGGAAAATTGCGTTGAGCAATTAGCGAAGTTGTTGGAATTGTGTTAGGTATTTTAGAGGTGAATTATTAAAATTAACTTGATAGTTGTTTACATTTTTGTGGTGTTGCGCTTGCGGATGGTGGTAGGTGGATGTTTAGATGTTTAGGTATGTGAGTGTTGGGAATCTGGGGAATTTGGGATGTTGGGGATAGAGGGATTCGAGGATTTGGAGATTTAGGGATTTTTGGAATTTTGGAGATTTGGGAATTTAGGAATCAAGGGAATTTGGGATGTAGGAATCTAGGAATTTGAGAATTTGGGGATTTGGGTACTTGAGAATTTGGAAATTTGAGGATTTAGGAATTTAAGAATTTGAAAATTTAGGTATTTAGGAACCTAGGGAATTAGAGATGTAGGAATCTAGGGATTCAAGGATTTGGTGGTTTTGGGATTTAGGGATTTGGGAATTGGGAAACTTGAGAATTTGGGAATTTGGGAATTTTGTAATTTAGGAATCCAGCAATCTAGGGAATTAGGGACGTAATAATCTAGGGATTTTAGGATTTGGTGATATAGGGATTTAGGGGTTTGTGAATTTGGGAATTTAGGAATTTGGGAATGTGGGGATTTGGGAATTTGGGGATTTAGGAATTTGGAAATTTGGAAATTTGGGAATTTAGGAATTTGGAAATTTAGGAATCCATCAATCTAGGAAATTAGGGACGTAATAATCTAGGGATTTTAGGATTTGGTGATATAGGGATTTAGGGGTTTCTGAATTTGGGAATTTAGGAATTTAGGAATTTAGGAATTTGGGAATGTAGGGATTTGGGGATTTAGGAATTTTGTAATTTAGGAATCCATCAATCTAGGGAATTAGGGACGTAATAATCTAGGGATTTTAGGATTTGGTAATATCGGGATTTAGGGGTTTGTGAATTTGAGAATTTAGGAATTTGGAAATTCAGTTATTTAGGCATTTAAGAATCTAGGGATTTAGGGAATTGGCTACCTGTGAATTTGAGAGTTTGTGAAAATAAAAATTTGGGACTTTAGTATCTTTGAAAATACAGAAATCTAAAAATTAACAAATTTAAATATTTAGCTCACAAATGATCAACTATAAAAATTATATTAAAAAATTTTGAAAAGCTATAATTTTCCAAATAGCAAATTTTCAAATTCTAAATTTGACTAAACTGAACAAATGAACAATACCCTATTTTTTCTAAATTTGTTTCATTTCAAATATTTTACATTCTACCTACATCAAATTATTCGTAACTTTTACATATATTTCAACATCAATTTAATATAATAATGAATAAATAATGCTTACCAGTGCTTATTATTGCTCTTTCGAAATCTGCCGGTCCAGACTCCTCAGACTTTGAGTCTTCAGCTTTAATTTAAAACAAATAATTTTATTTTTCTACTACACTTTACTCAGTATACGCCTCTAACTAGATGATCAACAATTCTTATACTATCATCGAAAATAAATTGTTTAAAGAATTTGTGTGACGTAACCACAAATGCATTATGCAATAAGAAGGCTGGCGCAACCTTAAAAATTTTGTTAAAAAAATTAAGGAAACAAGGAAAATTATTAAACAACATACGTCGCCAACGAGTATAGTTGAACAAGGAAAACATGTTCCAAATTCGTTTAAATACCATGGTTCACTTTCTGCACTCAACGAAAATTAATTAACAATTTTTAATGCGATTTTGTTTAGGAAAATTAAATTTATTTATGAAGAATTATACATTGTAAGAAAATTTAAATATTTATTTATTTATTATTTAATGTTCTTGTGTTTATTTATTTGTTATTTGATGTTCTTATATTTATTTATTTGTTATTTGATGTTCTTATATTTATTTATTTATTATTTAATATTCTTATGTTCATTTATTTCTTATATTTATTATTTATTTTTAAATATCATCTATTTTAATATTTTTCAAGATTAACTAATTTTTACAAATTTAATTTGTAATATTTTCAATTGGATCCAGATTCCTAATATCATAGAATAAATTAGTTATTTTTATTAAATTTGAATTAATTATTTTCGAACCTGCACGTTAAATATTAAATTTGAATTATTTAAAAAATACTTAATTCCCTAATTAATTCTCTGACAATTACTGCAGTTACAAATTTATCAATTATTATTTTCTAACCTCCATGTTATATTTTAAAGAATTATTTAAAAAAATGGTTCATTCCCTAATTAATTATCTGACAATTACAATGACACGATATTTAACAATAATAATTATCCTCGAACCTCCACGTTATATTTTAAATTTGAATCATTTAAAAAAAATAATATACTGAATTTTTCAAATATTCGAATTATTTCAAAAATTCCTATTTAAAGGAATTTAAAATAAAATTCCTTCCCTACTTAATAGAGATAATTCCTTCCCTTTTCTCTGATAATTAATTAAGTGCAGTAACACGACAATTATCAATAAAACACGTGTCTCTAATCGACCGTTTCCTCGTTTTTCAAAACTTCCGAAGCTATGTACGTCGTCGAGCATGATGTACATTTGCGTCACAAAACATGGTTTGTTATTCGAAAACTCGCTTTATCAAAAACCACGTGCAAATGTTGATAAATACCACGATGAACAATTAAAAAACTCCTTTGCCGAATTCTATTTATACCCAGATTTACATCAAGGCTGATACACTTAATTTAGAAAAGAGTAATTAGCGAGAGAAAAGAATTAGCAGCTGACAAATTACCGAGTTCAAGGATTTAACGTGTGTGTTACACGTCATGTAATTGGACGAGTGTGTGTCGCATTTTAATAGCGATTTAATGGTGATCAACGATTATTAACGGTAATTTATCTAGTTTTAATAATGTGCTTCTAATAATCGAGGGGTAATAATAAAGTGATAATAGAATGCCTGATATGTGCAAATTTTTTTGTTTTACTTTGAAATTTATTTTAGGTATGTATAAAGCTTGATAGGTATAGGTAGCTTGTTAAGTTTTTTTGTTTCAGAATTTAATACATAACGTATCTAAATATTTTTTTTTAAATTTAGTGTATGAGGTGTATCTAAATATTTTGGGTATATTTCAAAATTTAGTATATAACGTGTATTTAAATATTTTGGGTATATTTCAAAATTTTGTATATAACGTGTGTATAAAATATTTTTCTTGTATTTCAAAATTTAGTGTATAATGGATGCCTAAGTATTTCTCTAAAATTTCAAAATATACACTTAATGAAGGTTTTACACAGTTGCTTTGAAAATTTCAAAATTTAGCACATAACGTGTATTTAAATACTTTTTTAATATTTCAAAAATTAGTATATAACGTGTACCTAAATATTTGTCTGAAATTTCAAAATATTTCAAATTTAATCAAGGTTTTATAGAAATTTTTAAATTAAAAAATTTAGGACATAAGTATAAGCCTAATATTTTTCTAAAACTTCAAAATATTCCAAAATTTTTAAAATTAAGGTTTTATAGCTATTTTTAAATTAGAAAATTTAGCACAAACGTGTACCTAAATATTTTCCCAAAATTTCAAAATATTTCAAATTTAGCCAAGGTTTTATAAAGATTTTTAAATTCGAAAATTTATCACACGTTGATTATATAATAAATAATTATTTGCTCTATTTAAATATACACGGTCGGTTCACACAGTCGGTTTAAATTTCAAGATTTAGTACAGTAACTATATAAATTTAATTTAGTTTAATTAACTGTTTAATTTGAAAATTTTACGCGAACCGAAATCAGTTTGATGAAACGTTCGACGTTTCATCAAACGTTTAACTGAGGAGATTGTATAGGACGCAGCTTAAATACCTGTTTACGTCAACAGTTTATTATTTCTATTTGATCTTGCAAATGTAATCCTAGTCAGCATATCTGAAAAGTCTGTGTATTTCGAATATGACCGAGACATAACCTAAAATTGTAGAATAATAGAGAAAGAAGAGTAATATTTCATTAGAAAGCATTTCAAACTCAAATTATTATAATATTATATATAATCGTAGCTAACATGTCTGAAATGACTCTCTCTCCTTCGAGTTTCTATGACATAACCTAAAATTATAAAATGTCGAAGAAAGAAGAGCAATATTGCATTAGAAAGTATTTCTAATTGAAAATTTCTACATAAAATTATCCTCAAACAGTAATTAATAATATCAAACTTTTGTACTATCAAATATTGTATAATTAAATACTGCATTATTAAACATTATTAAACATTTATAAAATATGGCGGCACTCGTTGTGAAACGCGGTGTATTTTCACATTTCAAAAAATCGACAGCCATTAAATGAAATGTTACACGTTGTTCTTAATAACATCGTTTAAATAAAATAATCTTGAATAAAATTAAACAACTTTTAAATTAAAAATTAATTTAAATGTATAATATATAAGTTAAATCAATTTAAATATATAATATATGTATAAGTTAAATTAATTAAAATATATAATATAAAAATACCAAACTTCTCAAAATATATCTGCATATATGTATAATATTAAATGTAAATGATAGAATTAATAATGATAACTGGAACAGAAAATTTGTCGATTAATTTAATAACATAAGCAGTCGACAAACCTTATGTTTGATACAGTTGTTTCAACTACGCTAATTTTTTATGCATATCCTATTTAAAGTATCCAAGAGGAGCTTATCCATTAAGAGACAGTAATAAATCATCAGAACATCATCATCATCATTGTGATACTTAACATTTCGCTAGGTGGAAGAACACTGACAGAAAATTCAATTATAGCCATGACGTTTATGGAGAAGATATAATATAAACAAAGATAATGATCATTGAACGAGCTAATTGTGTCACGAACAATCATTCAAAAGATTACGTGATAACATAGTAATGATAACATAGTAACGTTAGTAATTTGGTAACATAGTAGTTTTTGACAAATATAATCTTAATTGGAAAGTAATTTGAGAATTTGGTAACTTGAGAACTTGGTAATTTGAGAACTTGGTAACTTGAGAATTTGGTAATTTGAGAATTTGGTAATTTGAGAATTTGGTAATTTGAGAATTTGGTAATTTGAGAATTTGGTAATTTGAGAATTTGGTAATTTGAGAATTTGGTAATTTGAGAATTTGGTAATTTGAGAATTTGGTAACTTGAGAACTTGGTAATTTGAGAATTTGGTAATTTGAGAATTTGGTAGCTTGAGAATTTGATAACTTGAGAATTTGGTAATTTGAGAATTTGGTAATTTGAGAATTTGGTAATTTGAGAATTTGGTAGCTTGAGAATGTGGTAGCTTGAGAATTTGGTAATTCGAGAATTTGGTAACTTGAGAACTTGGTAACTTGAGAATTTGGTAACTTGAGAACTTGGTAACTTGAGAATTTGGTAGCTTGAGAATTTGGTAATTTGAGAATTTGGTAATTTGAGAATTTGGTAATTTGAGAATTTGGTAATTTGAGAATTTGGTAATTTGAGAATTTGGTAATTTGAGAATTTGGTAGCTTGAGAATTTGGTAATTTGAGAATTTGGTAACTTGCGAACTTGGTAACTTGAGAATTTGGTAGCTTGAAAATTGGGTAACTTGAGAATGTGGTAATTTGAGAACTTGGTAATTTGAGAATTTGGTACCTTGAGAACTTGCTAATTCGAGAATTTGGTAATTTGAGAATTTCTTAACTTGAGAATTAGGTACTTTGATATTTTGAAAACTGATAAATTTGAAACATTGAGAATCCGAAAAGTTGATGTTCTCAAATTAAAAACCCAAAAAATTCCTAAATTCGCAAACCTCAAAATTCGAACATTAAGAAACTCATTTCGTTAATTCACAAACGCGTTAAGAACTGATCGGACGTAACTGATAACGAGGGAAAATTCCGTAACACGCTATACACGAGTTACGTTACAAATAAATATTAATAAACCCACTATCCTTCCTTTGCTTATCTCGTGTTTATCATAAACGAATGATTAATCGACGTATATTTCTTTGATGTCGCAATCCTCGACTGCTTCGATTTTTATTCACTTCCGGATAAATCTAGCATAACAATCACCTCTATTACATATATCTTATTAATGAACAATCTTTCGATTCAAACTCTAATTTCAACAATTCTTTATGGAACATCGATAAAACAAATACTAACAACGCAAATACATGAATAGTGTATTTTCATACAAATAGTGTATTTTCTATTTTCAAAAATAGCAAATTGACCTTTGCTGATTATTTTATCAAATTACGGAGATATACATATATTTTACGATTGACGTGTCAGGTGAGTTTAACTTTGCTGCAGATAAATATTTTACGATCTTTTCCGTGTTCTATTCGTTCTACAATATTTCCCCATTTTACACTTTTCACGGAATCATTTTTGAATAAATTTTTATCACGAATATTTCAGTTACTTTTATTTGCAAATCAAAATTCTTGCAAGCTCAATAATAATTTGCAATTTTAATAAAATTTGATTACATTATAAAATTATGATTTTATGTTGTTTATTTAATATTGATTATTTACTAAATTAATTACTGTTATGTTCATTACTGATTTTCAACAAAAATTTTATATTTAATAAAGCAATTTTAGATATTAACTGTATTTGTATAATTTATGAAATCTTTGAAGACTGTTCAAAATTTTTTAAAAATTAT